TATAACTGAAAAGTATTTTTTAACGTAAAAAGGTCGCAAGCGAACTGGCGGTTCACGTGATGTTAAGTGGTAACGGCCGACTTTTGCAACACCTGAAGGCTTGCAGATGCGTTGCTACCTTTTAAAATAGTGGGCCCCAGCTACCTCACTACCAGACGAAAAACAAAGTATAACATTTCCACTACACGCCGGTCTTCTGTGAGGTCGTGGTTCTTACCCAGACGGATCTGCCCATTCGTGCCAAAGCAAACACTATTGCGCGGCCCAATAATAATAATTACATAGTAAGTATAGAAAATAATGAAAATATGTTACATAATTACTCTCAAAATGTCTAGTTTTGGGGAATTTATTACAACACATCGTTAATACTTCATGACACCGTATGGTAAAATGAAAACAAAAGTGCATGGATAGATTTATTTTACAATCAAATTACACGTATTACGAAATGTAACGGCGAGGCATCGATTTGCCCTTACTTAACCCAAACTTTATTTACAACTGCGCCCTAGTTTAAAACAACACCGGATGGCTTCCCATGACTTAACAGTTATTTAATATCAGTCCGAATCACAAATGTTTAAAAATTATGTTTAAATTTTAGTAACCATTATTCGATAACTCTTTAAATTCGTTTAAAAACACTAGCACGCAGCACATGTCACATGGATACACCAGGGAAGAAAATTTTTATTCTATAAATATACACATTTCAATAGACACATTTAGGAGACATTGAACTATTTACAATAAAAGCTTTGATTTTATTATTATCAATCTAATTCTATATCCAAAAGAATCTAAGGAGAATTATAAATATGAGCAGATATTATATTTGATTATTTGAATTCTTCGTTACAAATGATTACTATTCAGCCATTCAATGAAATAATGTGCACAATTAAAAAGTGTAGATTTAACAGAAAAAATAACTGTACAGTATTTACATTTATATAAAAAATAAAAATTCGAAATTCAAATAGTGTTTGAATATTCCACAAGTGGCAAGAGGCCTAATCTAGAGCAGATTAAAGCTGTCATAAAACTATACACATTTATTACGGATGCTAAATACACAAGGATTAGACTCTAGGGAGATAAATTATATTGAACTACAATCCTAATAATATCCATACATTTATTTGTTGTTTTTTTCATGAATTAACTCTGATTTAAAAATACATCCATTGATGTTAGCAATAATATTGATAAAAAATAATAAGTTTTCATATAGTACACAACATACGACAATATGTTGCAACTTTAGTTGATAATTACATAATATTTTGAATGAATAGTTATAATTTTAAATATAAAGTGCGATGCACTGTTGCGACAAGGACCGCGTCTCTTAATAAGTATAATTTATTACATTAAATTAAACATTTGCTATGTACCACATTGTTGATAAATATAAAAACAAAATTATGCTTGTTCCTTAGAGGGGTGGGTAAAGTGGGTAAGTAAGGGGTGGGTGGGTAAAAGTCTAATATTTATGACACATTTTTACACAACATTCTCTAGTCCCAACAAAGCAACGCTTATACTATGGGTACTAGATAAGTGATAAACATACTTAAACATACTTTTTTATGATAATTTATACATATTATAAATATGTTAACACTCAGACACTGGAAGAACACAATGATCGTCACACAATATTTTCCCCGTAGTGGGGATCGAACCCACACCCAAGAGGCAGGTACTACCCACTACGCCAATCGGTACGTCTCAAATATAGCGTATCCAATTATATTCAAAATTCATTTTTAATCCATTGTTTTAATCAAACTCACGTTTCTTTCATCAATATTTCCAAACTATATTAATACGTGTACGTAGCTTAGAAGTTAAACAATTATGTTAAAATATTTCTCTCCTTAAAATTCGAGGCTAAGTATATAATGGCATTCTTCATCATCAGTGGTACATAGTAAAATCAGAAAGTACAGTTACCAAGATACACATATGTTTAGGCGCTAGATTTAAAGTTAAATATCAATAGATTCTCGAATTCAATTAACTATTAGGCCGGTCCCACTACTCGTTGCTTAAGTGACTTATTTCGTAGTTATTATAATTGACGTATCATCCACAATGTTATGTACAGATTCTTATAATTATATGATATATTAAATCAATGTTAGGAAGCAATCTCGATGCATTTAGAAAACCTGAGCATCAGGGGAAGTCAAATATTTATTAGTATATAAATTCTGCTATTACTTCTAATATTTTAAAATTAGTGCTATTATGATTGAATGATAATCAGATTATATATAAATATGCAGGCAGAAATGAAGAAGTCTTTGTTTATCAATTTCATTTCTGATGAAGGCCTATTTGCGAAAAAATTGCTGTATTAAACAGAAGTGTTTTTTTGAAGTACTTGAAACAGATTCAAGTACTAAATAAAGCAATTGGAAGACATTAAACTATACTATTTAGATTTTTATATGCCGTATCCGAAATGCACCAAATTGACTCCCTTACGTTGATGCATATTATAAACTATAACACACAGTAGTTCTGATTACATTGTCACAGTACTTTGTCTAAAATACGTATGAGTAAGAAAGAAAGATATCAATATGTGTTTTTATATTTTATACAATTATAGCATTATCGTACCTTAATTAAAAGTGAACGTCAGTATACACCATTTTTGAAACAACTATATAAAGTTTATAGCCTTGCAGCAGACGGTATAAATATGATCAAGCCCTTTAAATCGTTATATTTTATTTGCAAACGCACTTATTTGCGGTTTATAATATTACTAAATATGGAATTATTGATTAGAGAATTATAGCTAAAGGCACAAAGACTCACTGTCTCCTTCAATACCATTAAACATAGTTACATTGATTAAACTCTATTTAAAAACAACACAACATCGCATACAATCATCAAACTTATGTTCATCTTTCGAGTATATAATGACCAATACAATTTTCACTACAGCAATTATTCCTATGATTCTAGACAAGAAAGTTCACAATCCCTAGAGTATGGATTTTCACAAATCGAGTACCTTCTTCAAGGAGCACCTAACTCACCAGTCTCCATAGGAAATACTAAAGTAAATGAGTGCAATTTAAATACCCTGTATAACACAGTTCAGGTTATTCTTTCACGTGACGTAAAAATATGGCCACACCAAACTTCCCCATTCATAACACATTATTTTAGAACTTATACATTTATTACTTTTTCATCAATGAATGACACGAGAATAGAAATGTACTTTAAATACTTTATTGACATATTTTAAACTTTTTACCTTTATAGGGAAAATATTAACAATGAAAAGCAAATGATTATAAGGACTTAAGTATAGAAAATAAGTATACATACAGTATACAACACTGATCAGATCTAATCAGAGTGCTTTTTAATTATTATGATAATATAAATTGATACATAAACGCAAGAGTAATAACATATTGTATAGTTAAATTTTATTGAACGCAAACAAAAGTATATATTATGCAATAATACAGAAATATTGAGCCTATCACTTGGATAAAAGTACACAGATTAAAAGCGTAATATTTATGTGACAGTTGGAGGTATTTCATTATGGATAATGATATGTATCAATCTTAAATTAACGTAACTAGATGATTAATATAGATATACACACAAGCAAGGTTCAGTATTACAAAAAATCCTATAATCATATCTTTCGTTCACACATTTAGAAGATATTTTGAAGAATTTTTGCTAAGAATTTATATTAATTTTTGTTAAAAAACCTTATTTAACAATAATATTAAAATTGATCGTAAAATATCAAAATAAAATGAGTTTATTCATAATTATTATATGAAACTAGTAATATCATAAAGTTAAGAGTCGAGAAAGCTTTTAGAGTAAAATCGTAATCTCAGCCAAAACTTTTGAGTAATAAGATTAAGTTCATATTATAATTTATATGTTTAAATAGATTAAAGAGTTAGAATTAGATAAATAGTTTTGTAACTTATGGATTATAGAGATTTTTGGGAATTTGAAAAAAGAAGGATTATAAAGATTCTCGGCGATTATTCTTTGAAATTGTCTAAATTAGCGGTAGTTTTGGACATTTATCTAAGATTGTAACAAGGTGAAAAATATATATAAACTTTGAATTAGTACGTACCTAAATATGACATACTTTAAACACTATTTACACGCATTCCGCATCCGAAAGTCCAATGGCAACATTCAAAGTTTAACAGCGGTACCCAAATATATACATTAATATATATATACATTTAGGTAAAGCTACAAATAAATATCTCCTTTAACACAACACACTATGAATAAATTTGAACCGTTTCGACTATGCTCGCTCTCACTTTACCTGTCGCGTTAGACAGAGACAGCTGGTTGTGGAATATCAACTGAGCCTATTAAGTTCCGTTACAGGTGACCCTGTGGCGTCCTAAGTCCGCACTTATTTTTTTATATTTAGCGTGTTTAAATTGTTTTCGGAGAGATTCGCAGCTTGATAATCTGTGGGTGGACACGCTTTCTTTCTCACAGCTGTTGACACGTGACATGGCTTCGCAGACGTGTACGCTAAAAATACATTACAGATTTTCATTGCGATAATAGCAGACAATGTGCGACATGTCCAATATACTAAGTGTTAAGTTTATAACCGGGAGGTTATTTTAATGACCGAAACCACCTATATACGGAACGAGATGGTGGTGCCACGGGACGGTTTATCGACATGTCCGGCCCCAAAGCCCTATCATCATGCTGGCATTAAACACACACAGTTGTATCTCACTCTGAGACTAAACGTCTAAAGCAGGTCCGATGGAATCCTAGCAAAACACTAGGCCCCGGTGTATCATAACCGTCCCGTTAAATTGGGTGACAGGTGATGAGCCTAGCGTTCGTTAGCATTAAACACACACAGTTGTATCACACTTTGAGAGTAAGTGTCTGCAGTGGGTCCGTTGCTGTCCTAGCAAAGCAGCCTAGGCCCCGATGTATCATAACCGGACGGTGACGTCGTCGTCGAGGGTGGCCTCCAGCTCGCAACAGGAGGCCAGCTCCTCGAAGGACATCCCGTCCAGGGTCATGGTGATGGCGGAGATGCTGCGGAACAGCGCCTCGGGGTCCAGGTCCTCGGGCAGCTTGGTGAGGAACTGCGCGGCCGCTATGAAGTCCATGTCCTTAAGCTCCTCTTGGTACAGGTGCAGGATGCCTGTAACCGACGTTAAGGAATATATGTGGGGTGAATGAGTAAATGATGCATGAAACGGATCGAACATAAGTTGTGTGAAAGGGATGGAAAAATGAGTAATGGTGTGATATACAGTAGGAACGACGGCTTGTGCTCTATAAGTGAAAAATTGATAATCCACATAATAAAGGAGATTCCCAAGTAGTTCCAAAGAACTTTATTTCTCTCCCGCACATATATTTCTAATAATTCAATCAGAGAGTCTTGTGTTTTAACCCATATTGTTATATGTTACCATACATAACTGTGGTACAATCATGCTACAGTTCGCTGTTGCACGAATTTGCAGGCTCAGAAAGTGGAAGTATTTATTACACTTTTGAATTTCGTCTGTAGTGTGAGATAACATGTTTTGATGGCACTGCTGACCCGTAGGATCGTGTGATAAGTAGAAGTGGCAGGTAGGGCTGGCAAGAAGAGATTACGCGTAGGATCGGTACAAGGGGTTACGCATAGGGTTGGTGCAAACAGATTTAGCGTAGGGTTAGCACAAAGGGATAACGCATAGAGTTGGTACAGAATATTTAAGAGTAAGTTCGGTACAAAGGAATTACGCGAAGGATTGGTACGAAGGGGATAAGCGTAGGGTTGGCACAAAGGAATTACGCATAGGAGTGGTACAAGGGTGCTACGCATAGGGTTGGTATAAAGGGATAAAGCATAGGGTTGACAAAAAGGGATTACGCATATTATTATTATTAAGAGTGGTTATATTATTATTATTATTAAGAGTGGTTATATTATTATTATTATTAAGAGTGGTTGGTACAAAGAGACGATGAATAGGGCAAAAAGGGATTACGAATAGGAGTGGTAAGCGGTGGTGGAATAAGCGTAGGGTTGGCACAAAGCAATTACGCGTAGGGGTTGTACAAAAGGACTGCGCGTACCCAGCGCCGCATTGAAGAGGAAGGTGTCGCCGTCCCTCAGGAACACGTCCCAGACGCGGCAGGCGGCGTCGAGCGGCATCGCCTTGGCGAACGCCGTGTACAGCCACTCCACCAAGTACAGCTCCGGCGCTACCAGCTCCGCCAGCGCGGGCAGGTTGTGCCTCAGCAGCCGCCCGTACGCCTTCCACAGCCGCTGCCACGTGCGATTCGAATTAAAAGCAGTTTCGGGATCGACGGCGTGTGTGTAAATCCTTTATCGAAATAACCGTTTCATGAATGTTGTGGACTGTGCCCTAATGCCCTCTGTACGGTGGAGGCCTTTGCCCAAATGTGGGACATATATAGGCTGTACTTACTATGATAAACAAATAACATCGCCGATTGGCTTAAAATATTTCATCAAATCAAATCATTTATTCGTCGAAATAATAAATACACATTTCGCCTATCGATAGTCATTTTAAATCTGCCATCGTTTCGGGCGAAAGAAACTCCGTAGGTATCCTCTCTTTTGTCATTTTTTTTTATGTGAGAAAGTGGCAAACGGGCTGGCGGTACCACCGTCCTACCGGACATTTGCAACACCCGTGGGGTCGCAAATGCGTTGCCACCTTTAAATAAAGTGGGCCCCGGCTACCTCAATCACCGGACGAAACGCAGAGATGTACTCCTACTTTACGCCGGTCTTCTGTGAGGTCGTGGTACTCACCCGGACGGACCTGCCCATTCGTGCAACATCGAACACTGTTGCGCGGCCCAACTGGGAAATATCATCATCATATTTCCTTTCTATTCTTTCACAACTAAGCGGTGGAGGTTCTTCTACGGTGACGGTCGTGGTGGCGAGAGGTCACCTGCATGGCGGCACCGTCACGAGTGAAGGCGGCGCTCAGCACCGGCCCGTTGAGCAGGTTGGCGAAGCAGACGAAGGCCTGGGCTGCCTCCATGTTCAGGATCAGCACAGCCGCGATGAAGGACATGCCCTGTCGACATTAGTTTGATTAGAATTTCGAATAAAGGTTTTTTTTTTATGGGAAAAGTTGTCAAACGAGCAGACGGTTAACCTCATGTTAAGTGAATACCGCCGCCCATGGACATGTGCCACACCCGAGGGTTACAGATGCGTTGACAACCTTTTGAAAATTGAGCTCCGGCTACCTCACTCACCAGACGAAACGCTAAAGTATTATACTTCCACTTTACGCCGGTCTTCTGTGAGGGCGTGGTACTTACCCGGACGCGCCTGCCCTTTCGTGCAACAGCCGAGGCTGCTGCGTGGCTCTACCACAATTAGACTAGGTTGTTTAACTGTTAATAGACTACAGCTACCTACCGAGCCGAGGTCTGGCCGTCTCGGGCACCCTCCAATCTGAACGTTAAACGGATAAACGGATATCGAGTGACAGCCCTAGCCGAGTCACTCCATGGAGCGTGCACCAAAGCGACCTAACAGCTTGGCGGCCTCCCAAATCGGTGAGAATAATAGTCACAAAAGTGGTCCCCAATCACCTCGCTCGACAGAATAAACGCAGAAGAATAACACTTCAACTTCACGGCGGTCTTCTGAGGGCTCGTGGCACATCGCCGGACGGAGCCGCCCCTTCGCTACCGGCCCCGCCACAGTTACAGTTCCACACGTAAGTCAAGAAACAGTATGACCTCCAAGAAGAGAGCCTACTCCTACCACAATTGCGACCCAACCGATGTTGCAAACGTCCATCATGGGCGGCGGCGATCGCCTATCGTCGGTCGATCCGTATGCTCGTCCATAGGAGGCTGACGGATGCCTATGGAGCTGGCTATTCGTGCAACAGCCGAATCCGCCTCGCCGCGGCGAAAAATCGACGCATACGAGACGCAAAGACAGAAAGGAGTTGCCACCTGAACGTATCCGACGTCCGGCCGGTAGCAGACGTACGCCGCCAGGAGCTCGTGCAGCACGTCGAAGTAGGGCCCGCCCGGCTGGAAGATGCACAGGTGGGGGAAGGTGCGCGCTATGTCCAGCTGTCGAATTCAAAGTCAAAATATCTTTATTTATCGTACAGGCTTAACTTAAGCTCTCAAAATATCTTTATTTATTATATTGGGTTAACTTAAGCTCTTATTTTACGTCAAAAAAACTACCACCGGTTCACCAAACTAGAGCTAAACAGAGAACCGGAAAGAACCGGAAACAAACTCCGCGGTCTTGTTCTCTTGTTTGTTTATTTTGTGATGCAATTAAACAAACTTAATCCGGTATAAAATCAGCAGCAGCCAGGGGTCTTGCGAATACAGAGCAAGAGTCATTTCCCCAATCATCGTCCTCAATGTATTCTTGGACATTATAATAGGCCCTTGCCATTGGGGTAGCTTTTACAAATTCTCTAAAATTGTTTATACTTAGTTGTTTGTGGATGTCACCAATTTTATTATGGACTAGCGACCCGCCCCGGCTACGGACGGGTGCAATGTTTTATACATATAAACCTTCCTCTTGAATCATTCTATCTAGTAAAAAAAAAACAGCATCAAGGTCCGTTGCGTAGTTTTACAGATCTAAGCCTAGGGACAGTCTGACAGCGGGACGACTTCGTTTTACACCGCGTAGTGAAATTAATGCATGTACCAAGAAACGACTGTCCGGTTCTAGCCAGTCGGAACGTCGGTACTTGAAGAGTCACCTGTATCAGCTCCATGGAGCACTCGTCGTTGTAGTCGAGGAGGTCCGGGTTCGACTTCGAGCAGCACCTGCGCGGGCCGCCCGCCGCCGCGCTCTTCAGGTTCTGCTCGCTGAGGTTCCTCGGCAAGCCGGGCCTCTTGTCCTCCTCGGGCCTCTCCTGCTGCGCCGCCTCGGCCTCTCGGCCTCCGCAGCCGCACGCGCCCCGGTTCCTGACCTTCAGCCTCTCGCGCCTCTCGCGCGCCTCCGCCAGCCTCCGCTTCGCCTTAGCGACGTACTCCACGTACATCTCGGGCGTTATCTTCAGCTTGTTCTCGATCGCCAGCTGCCACACTTTGCCGCGTATGGATGGCGGCAGACCGCTCCACCACAGCTCGAGCGTTCGCTTGGCGTTTTTCCTGTGCGATAGAAATGTACAGGGTGATTTTATAGACGACGGACGCACTAAATCTGAATCTGGTACGTACTTGTGACCTCATATTTCAGTTTATTTTAATTTTTTTCTAACATTATGGACACCTTAAGAGACATTTCTTACTGTCTCAATACAATAACCTATTGACCAGCACTAAAACTTTTCGCTGAACGCATAATTACTAAACCACTTATCAATAGGGTGACCACTCTTAACGGGATAAACAATGTTTGAATTGATATTTTTCTGCTTATTTCTTGTCAAAATAAAATATTAATATTTTTTTTAAACATGGAATGCTAAATTAACATTGTCAAACTTTTTTTTGTCTGTCTGTCTGTTATCCGTCTGTCGCTGTTCACGGTTGTGAAAAATTGAAACGAAATATCTACGTAGTTAATACATAATCATTTCTGCCATCGACAGAGATTATTGATTTCCTTCATGCAACTTTTACTTGTCTTGTATCTTGTATCTTGTATTAACTGATGTTTTTGCTTTCAGTCCCGAGACTATTAAAGCTTCATCGGACGCAGAACCGGTGGGCTAGCCAGAATTAATTATCCATACATAAACGCATAATTTTGTCGTCGAAACTAATCGGTAAATACGTCGTCCCAAATTAAAACAGGGCAGGGCAGAGTAGATCGATACGCATTCGAACGTCCGACGCGTGACTAAAAATTAATTACCAATAACGCAAAGTTCCACGACCGCTACAGGCCATTGCTCATGATGGAAAAGTAAAAGTAACAGTAAAAGTTACATGTCCCACCGCTGGTCAAAGGCCTCTTCTGTACCTAGGGTATTAGAACATAGCCCACTAAGACTCCCCACTGCGGATTGACGGACTTTACATATCTTTAAAAAAACTTGTCATTGTTTTAAAGATACGCTTTCCTCACAATGTTTTCGTCAACCGCAGAGCACGTGATAAGTCAGCTCTTACAATTAACAATGTCATTGGTGCCGGTACCGGGGATCGAACTCGGGTCGCTCGAGTATATTGAATTGATAGCGAGCGTCCGTACAATGAGCTTTCAGTTCTAAATCACGACTCACGATAATGGTACCGGTTTAATATCCGTTTGCAATCAGAACGTACTTTCCAACGCCATCCGATAAATATGATGTGATATATGTATTAGACGTTGCATCTTGTTTATGATACAAATGATTGGTATTCAGAATTACGATTCGTTTAGGGCATACGATTCTTTAAAAAAGTAGAGGCACGCAGCACCTTCTGCTGTTACAATACCAGGCATGGGCTTGGAAATACTCGTCATACAATTTAGAGATACATTTGTATACATTCATACGTATTACATTCGCCGGTTTCTTTAAAAAACTATAATAGCTCATATATCGGGCATCGATATCAATAGACTGTTACAGACTGATGTCAAACACACCCTATACGAAAGCCGCCAACGCGTTTGTTATCCCTCTGGTGATGGCGGAGGTGATAACGTCTACGAGTTGGCTCGTTTGGTTCTTTGCCCTTTTTTATGTGAGAAAATAGCAAACGAGCTGGCGATTCGCCTGATGTTAAATGATAACCGCCGCCCAGGGACATTTGCAACACCAGTAGGGTTGCAGATGCGTTGCCGCCTTTTAATAAAGTGGGCCCCGGCTACCTCACTCACCAGACGAAACGCAGAAGTGTAACACTTCTACTTCACGCTGGTCTTTTGTGTGGTCGTGGTACTTACCCGGACAGACCTGCCCATTCGTGTAACAGAGAACACCGTTGCGCGTCCCTACCACAGTTGCCGCAACTCGTAACATTCTATTGTCTTACGGATCTACTGCGACAAAACTGACGCACTCGAATGCATTGCTTTGAGCACTTGCCGAAACGAGCGTAGCTTACGAATACGATACAATCAAACACAGAACGAATGGTGGAGGAGGGGGGGGGGGGGGGGGGGGGTCACGTGTCTCGCAGGCCAAGCATTGGGTCATTGTTCGAGTTGAAATGCGAACGCGGCGATTAGCCACAAACACGGCTGACATTCTGACAAAGTCCGAGCGACGGTCGTCCGAGGTCGTACATAATTAGATTTGTAATAATGCGCGACCTCAGACCCCTTAACAGACTTCAATTCTATTGGACTGTACAATCATTGTTGTCGTTGAAATACAACAATAAACAAATACATATATATGTCAATTAGTATAACGTATTTCAAGAATCGGCCATGCAGTGAGTGGATTTCGACGACGTATTAAGTTTGCGAAGTCATCCAAAAGGTTTGATTGATTATGATTTGTGTGGAAGGTGTTGGATAGTAAACCACAACAGCCACTGCGACCTAGAACATCTATAACATAAATTGCACTTACTCTAGGATATCATTGTTCTGTGTTGTAAAGAGGATTTACGAACATAAATTTCACATGGGCAAAAACCCAGAACCGAAATAATTATCTGTGTTTCCCGACTGCCAATAAATGGTATAGTTGGCGGTTACAATTTAGGTATGTATTTCTCCTGGTGACCACAAGATTCCTTCTAAACATTACTAAATACCAATCCTATAAAAGTAGGGCGTCAGTAGTCGCTAAGACATTAGCACATAGTGCAGAGATTAGCACTATAAAAAACTTTATAATTTATAAACAGCAATGGCGACATCTCTCGTTCAAATTATCGTTGTAAAACGATATTCGAAATTATCTCGTATCTATATATCCTTTCCAGCTAATTATATTATGATATATATATATATATATATATATATATATATATATATATATATATATATATATATATATATATATATATGATACAACAATAGATGTGCCAAGCATTGCTTCAAATGCTAAATAACAATGTAGAAAGAAGGCGTTAAGATTTTCGTCGCTGTGGCTATCAGCCGTTTAGCTCAGTGGCTAGAGCGTCAGGCCGCGAATGTCGAATGTTCTGTTCTGACATGTTTTAATTTCAATACTTCTACTAAGCCCGATTGTCTTTAGAAGTAGTACTTCTCAAGCCCATCTGTTACATAATTCAGTGGAATTTGCGTGCCTCTACCACTGAGTACTGGCACACGATCTATTAAAAGAAGACAATATGAAGCGCGGCATGTTCATTGACATCGGTACTTTCCAGACCGAGCGAGAAGCGTGGTCTCTCCGCGGTGACGTCATAGAGCACTTACATGTTGCCCCAGTCGGGCAGTATGGTGCGCGACCACTCGTGCGCGTGCCTCGCCAGCCGCTCCTCGAGCCTCAGCGACTCGTGGAGCCTGGCCAGCCTGGCGGCCGCCTCGCGCTCCACCCGCCTCCGCGCCGCCTGCACCATGCGCGCGTGCTCGGCCTTGTGGCGGAGCGCCTCCTCGGTGCACTTTGCGGGCAGGTTCGACGGCCTGCCGATGCGAGTTGCGCTATTGAGGACCCGCTACGTGTGTAACCACGCTGCTTATATGTCGTAAGCTTCACTATATGATAACATGATATTATTATAAATCGGAGATATTTTTGTTTGTATGTAACACTTATATTCTGGAGCTAATGAGAGCTAATAATGAAGTTGACAGTTGGAGGTCAGTCCACTATCGTTTCAAAAGTATGACTTGCAAAGAAAATTAATTTACCACCACTTTGAAACTTCCAAAACTTTTGAAATAGGTATTATATGTTTATAAAAAAATGTGACCAAAAGTTTTGAAGTCCTGATTAGTTTTAGAAACAATGTGCCAGATTTCGACTAAAACTTTTTCTTTCATACTTTAAACCCAAACCTGTTTAGTAAATAAGTATTACTTCCAAAAAAACGGCCAAGTGCGATTCGGACTCGCGTACGAAGGGTTCCGTACCGTTATTTATAAAAACTGCAAAAAAATATCATGTCTGTTGTAAGGGAGCCCAACTTAAATATTTTTTATTCCATTTTTAGTATTTATTGTTATCACGGCAACATAAATACATCATCTGTGAAAAATTCAACTAACTATCACGGTACAGGAGATACAGCCTGATGACAAACAGACAGATGAGCGGAGTCTTGGTCTCGGTCTTAATGGGGTCTCGTTTTACCCTTTGGATACGGTACCCTAAAAAGTATCCGGTTTGTTCACCCCGTCTAACCGGTTGAAATTGACAGCTGTGTCGCTATGACGCGTGATCAGTCCTATTTGAATCGGACTATACATAATATTCGCGCGAATATCTGACACGCATACAACAGAGCTGAAACCCTATATACACGTCACACCTGGCCTGGCTCCACACTCGACTGGACATAGAAAACGCTCCTCGCATATGCAAACCTCGCGTGCCCGAGGCACCGCATACGTCCACTCCCATTTCGCGTTGCATCAGCGAGAAACGTAATATTTGCATGAAGAAATCCGTGGAGAATAATTTATGTCCACTAAGGCTTTCTAAAATATACAATCACCCAGTTATGTATTCGTACATCCATATTATTCAGAAATTAGCATAAAATCTGTTTACATGATGTTTAAACTTTAGATTTTTTTTTATATTTAATCTACTGTTAGCGGGTATATCATTTCTATAATAAATAATTTAAACCACTCTATTATTCATTTCCTTATCCGATTTATGGATCTATAATCGAAATTTATATAAATGAATTTATGTATATTATTGCAAAGTGTACTTTAATCAATAGCCATTCCTTTCGGCTAATGCCCAAAGCTCCTGTACAATCTTTTTTTGGTATTTTTTTTCTTTCTGATTTCATTGTGCGTTTTTTTCCATATCAACTGTATTTAGCTCCCGTTTGTTTGTATCCACAAAACTCGAATATTAGTCGAGGGGTGGACTTTTTATTTGTTCATAACATAGCTATTGATCAAGAGAGTTTTAACGGAATGAGGGATAATGTAGCGTCGCTGTGTTCAGTATTTGATAAAATTGTCGAATGTCTGCTCAAAATTAAATACACACATCTTATACGCATTGATTTGTTTATATGTATAAGATTGTTAATTTTTAATATCATTATGTTGTCGCGTGGCTCACTAAATAAATGAATATAACCATATCGTAAAAAGAATCCCGGTATCTTGTCAAAATCCACCGCGCTATCCTGAAGGGTGTACTTATGCCCGACTACGAGTCAAGTTACATAAATATAGAACGAGGTTGGGGCCTTCGTGAAAAGGGGATGCACCCCGCCAGACGACCCCATTTCGCCACATCAATTATTCATCCCTCGCTAGAGCTGAAGGCGGAACAGATTTATATATATATTGTGAAAATAGAACCGAAAGTGGGGTGAAATGAAACATTTCGAAATTCTATCCCCTTCAATCTTGATACTTTTTTATAAATACCTAAATAAAAAATTAATTTGTTTTATATATTTGCCTGGATAAATAATTATGGGTGAACTGGTTGGTACCCGCGACTTTGGCTGCGCAAGATTACTTCGAGTACCTTATTTTCTTCTCCAAGCTGCTACGTTTATACCTAAATTCGTCAAAATTGTTTTTGCGGTTTAGCCGTAAAGACGTAACAGACAAACAGAATTACTTTGAGAGACCCTCGTATCTTTATAAATTATAACCTATCTGTTACTCTGATGTATATTTAAGTTATATAATTGTAAAGTTTCGTTAAAATCCAATCAGTAGTTTTTGCGTGAAAGAGTAACAAAAATCCGTATATCCACACATACAAACTTTCGCGTTAATAATATTAGTAAGGATAAGGACATAAATACCAACATTATAGTATTTTTATTAATGTAGTTAAAATATAAGCGTTTTATTCAGGGCAACAGGCACAATGTTTAATATTAATTTCATTTTTATTCAGCTAATATTAAAAATATTAAATTATTGTTTGTAACACCACTCAATTACGGATCTACGAAAAGAGTTATATTTTTTTGTCTGTTCATATGTACAAGATATTTATAATTAGGCTATAATTTTTCTGGGTGTCTTTCCATCCGCCGGCATTTCTTTATACAAAACTAAATTCCATCATTGCGAAGCGGAGAACACTTTCGAATCTAATAATAAATCGAAAGCGAGCTATAACGTTTCCACAGAGAAAATCTTTAAAATAACAATCGCGGATAACTAATAAAATACATCGCCGTCAATATCCGGGCGGAAAGTTTTCCTTACAAATATGGGGCGACGGTTGGTACACGACATTTTCAAAACCAAACAAAGGTTGGAAGCCCCGAATTCTTAACAACGGTATTGATTAAAAGCTAGGCGGTTGAAAACCCTTTCAATAAGTTGAAAATTGTATTACCGTTTTCTATACTGGAAGTTTCCAAGACGGCGCTATTTACGAGAAACTGGAAGAATGAACCACAAATAGGTAAATTATTGGATTAATCGCATTATTTATTATTTATATTGACGACCCGGTTGGGGAAGCGGGTAGTGACCCTGCCTCTTGCGCCAGAGGGTGTGGGTTCGTTGCCCACTACTGGAAAAATATTGTGTGAACAGTCTTTTCCAGTGTCTGGGTGTTTATAATATGTATTTACTTACAAAAGAAAAGTATGTTTATGTATGTTTATCAGTTATCTAGGACCCATAGTATTGTACAAGAGTTGCTTTTTTATGTTAGAAAATAGCAAATGAGCTGGCGGTTAACCTGATGTTAAGTGATAACCGCCGCCCATTGACATTTGCAACACCCGTAGAGTTGTTAATTCGTTGCCAACTTTAAATAAAGTGGGCCCCGGCTACCTCACTCACCAGAAGAAACGCAGAAGTGTGAAACTTCTACTTCACGCCGGTATTCTATGAGGTCGTGGTACTAGCTCGGACGGACCTGCCCATTCGTGCAACAGCGAAAACACTGTTGCGTGGCCCTATCACGGTTAAAACCGTTGGTTTGTATGCGATCTTTCAATAAGCATCGTTAAGCCTCTCAGCGAACTATTTCAGTTGTATTAGAGTTTAGGAGTCAGAGGGCCACGCAGCACTGTTGCGAATGGGCAGGTCCGTCCGGGTAAGTACCACGACCTCACAGAAGACCGGCGTAAAGCAGAAGTGATACACTTGTACGTTCCGCTTGGTGAGAGAGGTAGCCGGGTCCCACTTTAATTTAAAGTGGCAACGCATTTGCAACCCTACGGGTGAAGCAAATGTCCATGGGCGGCAGATATCACTTAACATCACGTGAACCAGCTCGTTTTCTTTCTCACATAAAAAAGAGGCTTCGGGACATGAACTAGACGATAGATAAAGGATAATAGCTGATGAAATAGATGAAACAGATAAAAACAGACTTCGCTACGTTCAAAGGCTTCGGCGGAAATAGGGCAAAGACCAGTGTTTCAATCGTTAAAATATGTCGCTAGCGAATATAATTCCTAATGATAGCATTACGCGCGAGAGCACAAAAAGCCTTAAGGCTACTACGTGGTGCAAATTGCGGAGCGGCAATCCCTCATTTTAACGGTATTTCCCCTGCTGCATTCCTGAACAGCCAGGGTTGTCACTTTATCGAAAAAAAAATATAATCCAACGGTGGTGGGGCCACGCACCAGTCCAAGACCGGCGTGAAGTGGAAGTGTTATACTTCCGCGTTTCGTCTGGTGAGTGAGATGGCCCATTTTATTAGAAGGTGGCAACGCATCTACGGGTGTTGCAAAAGTCAATGGGCGAATGTTATCACTTTACATCAGGTTAACCGCCAGTTCGCTTGCCACCTTCTCACATAAAAAGAAATATAACTCTCGATTATAGTAAACACGTTTAACTTTTTTTTCTTTTTTTTTATTATAACTTCGTGAATTTAACGCTGAGTGGAAAACTTTTTACTATAATATTATTTATAATTTAGCATTTAAAGTTATTTTCTTTCTTTGTAACAAAACTACTGTGCTTATGTGTTTATACTTATGTACCAAATCAAGATTTGGTCTTTCTTTCTTTCTTTGTTATGACAACAAAAGTAATATAAGTTTAGTAATACGATTGTCCTAAGAAGACGCAAGTACGAGTAATTAAATTTCCTTTCCTGCTTTATGTAAATTTAATCTAATACGACGGAAAAACGAAGCCAATTTACAATGAATCTTATCCTTTAAACGAGCAATTCTTGCATATATATATATAATCGGAATCTCGGAAACTGCTCCAGCGATTTTCATGAAATTTAGTATGTGCGTAGATTCGGGGGTGAAAAATCGATCTAGCTAGGTTTCATTTTTAGAAAATGTCCTTTTATCCCTGTTTTCAGGGAATGAAAAATATAATACGAATATGACGGTAAATTTCGCCGCAAGAGAAAATGTCATAATAGCTCGGCCGGTAATTCGGCTCGGATTCCAGATCATTGCTTTCTTTATTTTTAATTTTTTGTCGATTTGTTATTTTGTTATTTTTTTGCCTTTTTTTTAGTTCTTTGTTTTGTGAAAAAC